GAACGGAAAGTCTTGCCGTCCCACCCACCTGTCATTCAAGTGCTGCCATGTCAAAACGCTGACATACAGTTGACAGGTGAGTGGCCCCACCCACCTGTCAATTTTGGCCCACTAATCCCATCCTGATAAGGATATGACCCCTTAAGCCAAAAAGCTTCCCTACATCTGACCTACAGCAATACAGTGGAACCTTGGTTTTTGAACATAATCCATTCCGGAAGTCCGTTCGACTTCCGAAATGTTTGAAAATCGAAAATCAAAGGGCTGTCGGCAAAGTCAATGGAGAAAAAAGAAAAACACGCAGCGGCAGCTGTTCGACTTCCGAGGCGCGTTCAAAAATGGAAGCATTCACTTCCAGGTTTTCGGCGTTTGGCTTCCAAAACGTTCGGCAGCCGAGATGTTCGAAAACCGAGGTTTGACTATATGTTCAAATTAAAAGAAGTGATATTAAACATTAGAAAGAACTCCCTGATCTTACCAACCGTTCAACAGTGGAGCCAGCTGTCTGGGATGTCAGTGGACTCTCCTTCATTAACAGGAGTTCCAGCAGAGACTGGATGGTCATCTACCAGATACCTTGGGGCAATGAATTTCCTGCATTCACAGAGCCTAGGCGGCAGATACAGTCCCTTCCAATTCTATACACCCCCCCCCCCGGGAGGTATTTGCTGTCACAAAAGGGTAGGCTCTGGCCGTTCCATTTCTCCTTTTTCATGAAAAACAGAAAAGCATTCTGGAGGGAGAACATCCTTGCAGCTGGAAAAGAGGATGAAGACCAAAGCCAGCTTGGCTAGTCTCAGCCACTATTATCCATGCCTTGATATTGCCACGAAGTGTCAGTAGGAGATTTCAACATGCTCCACTAGTTTCCTCCTACTCTCTCTTTCTGCACACACACTGTGCCTCTGGCTCCAAGAGGCCATCAGAATGCCAAACACCATCCAGGAGTGGGGTTCCCACCCGCCACCCCTACTCTGCCTCCACCATCCCAGAGTCCCACCTGCAGAGAGGAGAGGACAGTGCAAGGTTCCTTGAAAGCCATTACGCTAATTAATTTCCAGCTGATACCAGAAGTGCCTTTAATCAAGCCAACTTCCGAGTCATTAATCAGGTTTAAAGCAATAGGAACAGTGAGTTATGGCTCCAACGGCGACTTATCCCAAAGCCTTGAAGGTCTGAGACTCACATGACGGGTGTGCAAGGAGGCTCCCTGCCAGGCCAGGAGGCAAAATTATGTGAGGTATTTGATACAGGGTAGGGCCTGGCATGCTCCACTTCCCTATTATTTTATATAACAAATATTTAAAATTCTTCAGATTTTTTCCCCTGAAATAGCTAAGGAGATTGAGAGCAAATGAGGCTGATATTTCCTGACAGCTGCGACCAATCAGTGGACTCATGGCTTTGAAGCGTTTTTCTTCCCCCTCCTGAGCCGTGGCTCAAGCACGGTTGAATTAACCTTGCGCTGTGCCTTTAAGGACAACCTGCACACACTTAACTATTTATGTTCTGTCATAGGGTGACCTATGACCCACCATCCAGAATGCTTGAATGAACCATCAGCATTATGGCTAGTGGATGAATCATAGAATCATAGAGTTGGAAGGGATCTAGAGGGTCCTCTATTCCCACCCCCTGAAAGGCAGGAATCTCAGCTAATGCACCCATGACTGATGGTCACCCAACCTCTGCTTAAAAACCTCCAAGGAAGGAGAGTCCACAACCTCCCAAAGGAGGCCGTTCCATGTTGGCATTGTAATTTTAGTGCCAGCAGTTAGACACTTTGCAACTAGGAAAAAAAAAATCTGAATTGGACTGGGTTGTATGTTGACTTTTCTCTCCCCCCCCCCCCCCATTTGATTTGGCCTCTGCTGGAATCATTAATTACCCTTGAGAATAGGTTGCAATCCAAGATTAGCCATGATTTAGCATTTAAAAATTAGTTATCCATTAAAAAAAAAAATACAGCATCCTAATAACAGCTTCTACTGTATGCCCCTAATGACTCTTTATGTGACTTTTCTCAAGGACCATATATAACATATTCTCCCAATTATTTCTTTCTATCTCCTCATAAATTAGATCTATCTATCAAGTAAAGTCATTAGATTTCCTAATGGAACTCAGGATTTAGATTCAAACACTGGCCATAGAAGGACTTACTGTCCCTACCCCCCCCCCCCAGTCCGATTCAATTAAAAAAAACATTTGCAATGTTTATTGGAAATTGTAGAGGGAAATGAGAAAATATTTTAGTTGATGACGAGAATGAGATGGGAACGAGATGAACGTAAAGAGCAATTATGGAACTGACAAATGCCTATAGCTCTTAACCACGTATATACATCTCAGCCCTCTGCAAAAGACTTTGACATTTTTCTTCCCGTCTCCTTAAAAATTTGGCAAAGGCAGATAATATCTTTGAGCTCAGACTTTTCACTGCTCCACTGCAATTTTAAAATGCCAGCCAACATAAATTATATAAAACAAAAACACACACAACAAAAATGGATTTGTACTTGAAATCTGACCTTCAGTGGCAATGGGAAGATTTGGAAAATGATAGCTTGCTTGGATGTTTCAGTGTTCTTCTTTTCTTTTCTTTTCTTTTCTTTTCTTTTCTTTTCTTTTCTTTTCTTTTCTTTTCTTTTCTTTTCTTTTCTCCCCCCACCCCGCCCCCTTCTTTGAGGGGAAAAGACATTTAAAAACATGTCCCTACTCAGAGAGAACTCGCTGAATACTTACCTCGGGGAAAATCATTACAACAAACCTATGATCATGGAAGGGTTCTTATCTTATGAAACACAACACACACATACACACACCACAAATGAGTTCACCATGTACTTCTGTGCATAATTATCTGCTCATATCACACAAATATAGTACAATGTGTGGACTTGCAGCAATATAATTATAATCTCTGATTTACCCAGAACCTTCAGTCTCCAAAGGGTTTATGCACACCTTAATAGAAGCCCTACCCAGCAACTGTGCCAAACCGGTGCTTTATTGGTGACAAGCATTTCCTATGTGTTCTTTGTTGTCTGAGTCCCTCATTAATAGGCGCCTGTAGTTTTCGGCTTCCTTTCCTTTCGCCACCCACTCACATTATTTTTCTGACAAATTGGCTGCATTGTTCGTCTGTGAGTTTTGCTTTCCAGAAATGCTTTCACACCAATACAATTGGCCTGGACCTCCAGTATGTCTCTGGACAAAAACACAGTCACTTGCTCATCAGTACTGCGGCCTTGCATTTTGGGTCTGCTCTTCTGTCCTGGTGCCTCTTCCGGCACTTTGTTCATGCTTGGAATTCTGTTTGCTGCTTCCTTTCTCTTCCCTTGTATTGTGGTCTCAAGCCAGGAGGCACACCTTTGGAATTATGAGAAAGGGCCATGGGTGCCAGTCATAACATGGCTGCTGCAGGTGGTGCGTCACAACACCAAGTGGCTGCCACATCTGAAAGAGAAGGGAAAAGAGTCAGGACCTCAACATGGTGCAGCCATGCCCCTGCCATCAGACATCCCTATCAATAGAGCAGAGGGGAAGGGGTGAGATTCTGGCATCCAGTGAAATGTGGGCATGTTTAAGGGGGCATGCTCAGTGTAGCAGACCCTGAAAAAATGCAAACAATCACCGAGTACGAAACGTAAAGAGACTCTTATGCACTGTGCCTTTTTGAAAACTCCCATGGGCACCACTGGAGGTACTGGAAGGCATGATGAGACCCATAGGTGCCATGTTGGTGACCTGCTTTAAAGAAAGGAACCATAGCCAAGTAGCAAGGACCCAGAAGCAAGGAGACCCTGGGGAGGGGTGATATCACCGCGGGTGGCGTCCACCCTGGGACGCTCTCCGCCGGCAGTGCACCCCCCTAGGATGCACACTGCTGCCGGCGCACCCCTGCGAGTTGCTAGCCCCACCCCGCGTGCCACTCCGGGTGCTGGAGCAGCTAGCTCCGCCTCTGCAAGGACCTCCACAAGAGGTCCTGGAGAGCTGGTGACAGTTGAGGTAGATGGACGAGGCAGAGTGATGCAAAGCAACTCCTAACCCATAGTTTGAACCCCAGGGTCCCATGAGAGTGCCTGGTTCAGCTTCAATTACATGTAGACGTGTGGTGCCTCCCATTTTCCAAGTCAGCCTTTCCTCCTATTAACCACTGCTTCTGGGGATTGGAGGCATTATGGATGAGTCAGAGAGGTGCAGACTTTCTTGTTCCGAGAGAGCCCATTTTGGCTCTCTGCTGCTCAGTGCTAATCTATGCTCCCCCTTCTCACATGAGCAGAGGCTAGGTAGCAACAATTTAGCCCCACCCTCCTTCAGCATAACTGCTGTACATGTCGGCATCCGGGGGTCAAACGGCCCGCTGGCTAGCCCCCAGTTGGATCGTCTCCTTCCAGCCGACACTCTGCAAAGATCCCTCGACCTCTGGTGTGACATATATCAGTGACCCAAGTCTGCTGATATGGGCACACTTTGCTTAGCAGAGCATACTGTGCAATAAAAGAGGCTTGAGGCATGTGGAGACATACTATATAGTACGGATTTATTAAACATAAATCAGGACAAAGAAACATGTTGTCTCTCTTTGGCTTTTGACTCTCTTGGAAGAGACGGCAAACAACACAGCGGAAGTTCCGCTTACACCAGCAAACAGTGCTGGAATGTAAACAGACATGTGACATGTAACAGTTCTGTGTCTGTAACTAAAGGTGGAATGGAAAATTCCAAACAGTACAAGCACAAGACATACACAGGCAACCCCCAATTTGTGTGTGGGGGGGGTTGCGTTCCAGGTCACCACGCACATCAGTGGAGTGTGCATAAGCCTGCCCCATTCCACCCCCTTCCAGGTCCGGAAATGGCACATGCTTTGAATGTGCGCAAAATGGTTGTTCCCTGTAGTGAGAGGTGAGGTTGTGGGCCTCATGATCGCCTCACAAGTGAAAGGTTCCCTGGTTTTAAAACAAGCAGAAACATTGTGCTCCTCTTCTTTGGCAGCTGGGGATAGCTCTGTTGACAGAGCACAAGACTCTTAATCTCGAAGTCATGGGTTTGAGCCCCACTTTGGGCAAAAGATTCCTGCATTGTAGGGGGTTGGATGACCTCATGGTTCCTTCCAACTCTACAATTCTACGATTCAATGGGTCTATGAATGGACATTGGTCTGGAGTAGCAGTGCCAGAAAAGCAAGGAGGAATGAGCTTCAGAGTCCTGCGCTCTAGCTGGCAGCTGTTCTCCACAGCAATGTTGGTAGCTTCCCATGACAGGCAGCTTTCCCATCTCCTCCTTGACCCTTGCGCTTGGTGTCTTCTTCCCAGAAAAAAAGAAAAATCTGCTCTCCACCCTCCCAATACAGGAGCTGTTTAACAGTCTGGAGAAACTCAAGCAGAGTTTGGGGCAGGAAACGAGGAGAAAATCCCATATCCTTCAGGAATTGCCGAGAGGCGGCAGGATATGTGTAATAACACAAACTGGAGGGTAGCCAAGACCTCCAGGCTAAATCCCAGACTTTACTAAGAGGGAGCCAGGAGACCTGATGGCCGGGACCTTTTGTTACAGCTTGTCTGGAAGACAGTTAAATGCTCCATAAAAGATGAGTAAAATGTTGAATCCCCTAGAAACTCTTGAAGGGATTAGGAATGAGCTCCTGTAGCGAGGGTCAAATGTTCTTTAAAAGGGGGAAAAAATATTCTTTCTATTACACTCTCTTTCCTATATTCTGTGCAGTAGCAAAGAGAATACTGCAAAATAAAATAATTATAAATGATAATAGCAGTGAAAACCTGCACCTCATCTGCACCCCTTGCTGCTTTCATCTGTTTAGCCCCTTGGTTGTCATTGTTCGTTTCCTTACATTTTCCTCAAGAACAAGTGAATAATCATGGTTTTGCTTACCTTGCAAGATCCTAAAGGATTAGTCACAGCCAGGCAGTTAAAAGACTCACTTTATTGACCCTGTCCGTTAACCATGTTATTTATAGGAGGGAAAGAAACAAGCAAAGACAGCTGAAACCTGGTTTCCCATGCTGAGGTCATGAACCGGTTGGATGCAGAGATATGATGGGAGGAACCAGCTGAGGAGCCACCAAAGAAAAAAGGCTCAGAGCCCAGGGAGTGGTGGTGGGACAATGATGTGTGGTCAGACTGGGAAGAGGAGGTTTGGAAGCTGAGGAGGTAACGGGGCTTAGTGAGCTGCGAGAGTCTGTGGCAGAAGGAAGTCCCGGCTCAGAGGCAGAAGCTGTAGAACCCCTTGCACAGGAGTTTCATTTCGCTATTTTGGCTAGCAGACTTCACTAGTTAAAACCCAGAATTTTCCCTTCCCAGTCCGTCAAGGAAGAGAAATGTGCTGAGTTTTAGTCGGTCAAATGACAACAATTCCATTAATGACTCCACGTGGCTCCCTGTATATTTGAATACAGTAACTGTTTATTAAAAGCAAACTTATATATAAAGCCATAAACGTTATATATATATATAAAGACATAAAAAGACGTTGAAAAGAAGATTGCTATTTATAGTGGCAAACGGTTTTCTCTCAGAGGAACACAAGACCGTATTACTGCTAGCTAATGTATACTGTTAAAGCTAAACCTTTATCCAATGTTTAATTTAAACATACTCATGAATATTATATTTTTAAACACTATGAAGAACACCCATTCTCCTTCCTTCCGTCCTTCCTTCCTTCCTTCCTTCCTTCCTTCCTTCCTTCCTTCCTCTGGCTTAGGTAAGCACATGTAAACACACTGTTAGTCTCAGGTCTAAATCCCTTTGAACCCATTGAAACCTACACTGAGTAGATCACTTAGGATCCTCCTGTTTTCAGTGGGAGTTAAGCACATGCTTCGCTCTCTTGCCTTCCAACCAAGGGTAGTTAAAAAAATATGCTTGTTTTGTGCTGGATCATGCCCAACGCTTGTAGGGTTTTTCAACATCAGATTTGTTGCATTTAATCTCATAACTGTCAGGAACATTATCAGAGGGAAACTTGATATGTCTGGGGCAGCAATTTAATTAATGATTTTTCTTCCTTGCATCCTAGCCAGGGAGAATTTTATCTTAAAGCCTGGATCTAGTGGGAAAGCGTTCCAAAATGAGTCTACCACATTGCAAGACCATTGATGGACAAACAAGACTAGATTTGCCTCACGGAGTCTAGATGGTATTTAACAAGTCTGGAGAAAACCTCATTAGAAAGTGGTTTTAATTAGCAAATACAGTGTTAAAAGGTGGGGGGAGTAGTCCCATCAGTTAATGTGTTCTACGCTTTGGATCTGACGTGTAACAACACCCCCTGACTACGAGTGTTGCCTTTCTCAGCGTGTACAAATACAAGGTCTTCGTCTTGAAAACATTCCCTCACAAAGTATCTCACTTCAATGGGGCTACGTGCAGGCAAATGTTTGGAAGAGCTGTGCCAGAGAACACAGGATGGAGGGGGTTAAAGTGGTGCTCAAGCAGCAGAATAGAAAGTGTGACATTCACTGTAAATAATGCCAGGTTTCTTCACAATTCCTTAAGGGCACCTCTAAAGATAGAAACTATTTCAGGAACACATAATAGCAGCATGAATTAAGGCAGAATTTCCCAGCGTTGCCTGACTTTTGTTTACTTTCTATTTAAATGTACAGTGTGTTTTATTTGAAGCTACTATTTTTAATCTCATGGAAATTGAGATTGAGTGAACAGGATGCCCCACAGCAAGCAAACAGCCTCCCTCCTCCCCGCACCAAAAAAACAGATTGTAGACAGAAATAGGCCTGGTCTACACATGTAGCAAAAAGAGGAGGTACTGTGGATTGCAGCTTCAAAGTGTGTGTGTGTGTGATTACATTTTAAAATGCTCCTGTACACTAAAAAAAACCTCTGCGAATAAACAGCCAGCAAGCAGTGGAAAGGGCTATTTTAAGTCTGTTTTTGTTCCCAGTGATACAGCGAAGTAGTTAGGTTGTGTATACATCACACAATTAAAGCACACCATTTCCCACAAAGAATCCCGAAAACTGTAGTTTCCCCCTCAAAAAAGCTATAATTTTCAGCACCCTTAGCAAACTACAGTTCCCAGGATGCTTGGGTTGAAGTCATGTGCTTTAAATGTGTGGTGTGCATGCAGCCCAGATCCTGGACTTAATGGTCTTTTAGATGAACATGTGTGAAGCACATTATTAACATTTCTCTTCTCTTCTCGCTTCCCACCACTCCATGCTGCACAACTGATTTTGTATTTTTCTGTTGTGAACCACCCTGTGAGTTTTGGATGAAGGGGGATATATTAACTAACTAACTAACTAACTAACTAACTAATATGTTAGGGCAAAACACAAACAACAACAGTTGCCCATCTTGATTTATTTTTTAAAAATGAAATACTCTGGGCATATGCAGTTTCACATTTCAAGATTTACTGAGAACCTAGCACCATTACGACTCCAGCAATAAAATGGCAAAATGCTTTTGTTACTGTAATGCTAAACACATTTTCTTGGGAATACATACCATTTTACTGTAGAGAAGAATATATATTTAATAATAATAATAATAATAATAGCAGCAGCATCTATAACAAGGGCAGTGGTAGAGCAGCAAACGGGCCTGACATTAATACTCAGCATATGTAAAGGAAAAGGAAAAGGACCCCTGGATGGTTAAGTCCAGTCAAACTTGGCTATGGGGTGCGGTGCTCTTCTCGCTTCAGGCTGAGGGAGCTGGTGTTTGTCCACAGACAGCTTTCCAGGTCATGTGGTCAGCATGACTAAACCGCTTTTGGCACAAAGGAACACCATGACAGAAACCAGAGCGCATGGAAACACCGTTTACCTTCTTGCCACAGCGGTCCCTATTTCTCTACTTGCACTGGCATGCTTTTGAACTGCTAGGTTGGCAGGAGCTGGGCAGAGCAATGGGAGCTCACCTCATCACGTGGATTCAAACCACCAACCTTACAACTGGCAAACGCAAGAGACTCGGTGGTTTAAACCACGGTGCCACTCACGTCCCCCAGCATATGTAAATTGGGGCTAATGCCAGCCAACACAAAATCCCATTTTCTGAGGTGAATAAAAATGTTTCACATGTGAAGGCTGAGGGTGTTTCAGTCACAGTCCCCCATCGTTTCTGCACATTGCTTCTGTGTGAGGACCAGAGGCAGACTGAGGAAAAGAAGACGGTGGCAGGCTGCAAAAGCCATCTTTGGTGGTGCTTTGCTTCACAGTATGCTCACCCCTTGTAAAATGTACTTTTTGATGAGGAAAGGAAGTGACAAGGGACCCCTCCCTGCCTGGTAAGCAAAGGAGGACTTGGGTCTTTCAAATTTCAACAGCGCCCAGTGCGAGGCAAAAATTCAGCGTTCCCCCACCTCTTGCCTTCTGTTCAGCGTATGCACTATATCATAGTTGTGATGTCCTGTGACACCCCCTTGGTTCGGTGCCCAGGGCAAGGGAACCGGTTGCGTTGCCCTAGATCTGCCTCTGTGGGGGTGGAGAAAAGAGCAGAGGAACCACCGAGGAAAGAGGGGAAATGGGGGCTGCCTGGGAGGTGGGGGGAGATGGAGAAAGCAGTGGGATACCCAGGGTGGGATGAGTAGCCCCCTCACACCTGGCAGCAGTGCTGAAACCAATACTAAGGAGAGTTTTCAGAGGAGGCTATGGCTTAATAGCAGGTAGAATAGGTCTGGGGAAGATCCATTTCTGGAGAGCTACTGCCAGTTGGTTATAGACAATACAGTGGTACCTCGGGTTAAGAACTTAATTCGTTCTGGAAGTCCGTTCTTAACCTGAAACTGTTCTTAACCTGAGGTACCACTTTAGCCAATGGGGCCTCCCACTGCCGTTGCACCGCTGCCATGCAATTTCTGTTCTCACCCTGAAGCAAAGTTCTTAACCCGAGGTACTATTTCTGGGTTAGCGGAGTCTGTAACCTGAAGCGTCTGTAACCCGAGGTACCACTGTACTGGGCTAGGTGGACCATTTTCTTTTTTTAAAAAAAATAATATTTATTAAATTTTAAAAGGTTACAAAAAGAAAAAAAGAAAAAACAGCATAGTAAAGAGATACAAAACATCACATCACAACAATAAAAAAGAGAAAAAAGAAAAAAAAGAAAAAAAGAAAAGGGGAAAAAAATACAATGAATCTTCCCATAACTTATCTTTCATTTGCTTATTTCCTTGACCTCCTCACACCTCCCTTTTTTGTATTCTAGTTCAGTTAGCTATTTCAGCAAGTCCTTTCCATCTTTTCCAGTTTTCGTCCTCTATTTTATCTTAATATAATGTAACTTTACTTTCCCTCCTTCACCATTTAGCAATCTATTTTTTCTTAATCCTTTATAGCATTTCTGCTAAAACCACATTATTTCATTCCAACATCCTTCTAACATTCCTTAATTTTACAATGTTTCTGTAGATAATCTTTAAACTTCTTCCAATCTTCTTCCACCGACTCTTCTCCCTGGTCTCGGATCCTGCCAGTCATTTCCGCCAGTTCCATGTAGTCCATCACCTTCATCTGCCATTCTTCCCGGGTGGGTAGTAGGTGGACCATTTTCTGTTTACCTACCTCATTAAAGTCATAGAAAGTCGTAGTATCATAGAGTTGGAAGGGACCACAAGGGTCATCTAGTCCAACCCCCTGCAATGCAGGAATCTTTTTCTCCAGTGTGGGGCTCGAACCCACCACTCTGGGAGTCTGAAATTAAGAATCTCACGCTCTGTCGACTGAACTACCCAAGTGCAGTACTATAAACTGCTGTGTTAAGTGAGAGTACAATAAACCAAGTGCCAAGTGGTTAAAATGAGAGGTTTTCACCCATTGCCGTAGAAAAATGCAATTTGCCTAATGACAAGTCAGCTAATTGCTTCCAAGCCAACTTCCAAGCCTCTCAAAGCCACCCTATGTGGCAGGTCCATCTAGGAGCAGACAAGCACAACTGACATATCACAATATATCACCCACTCGCCTACCTATGAATCAGAAGCCAGAGTCAGCCGGATAACTTTCATGAAGCTGTTTCCACTTGAAGAAGCATTTGATTTGTTTGCTGGGCTGCCCCATCCATCTGCACACTATTGCAGCTAACTTGATTTGAGAGCACTGGTGGGTGCAGGGCATTCGGTATATGGAGAACGTAAATGCCTGACCGTGAACCATCCTGACGTTTCTATTAGCAGTGTTTAAAATCCTAAGAATTCTACCACTCCAGATGTGCAAATGCATAAATATGGTCATACTGCTTTAGCAGCGTTTAGGCTTTCAGTAATAACGGCCAGGACCAAAAAGAAATACAAAATGAGCTCAACACACCCAGGGGGACTTTGGACTTACTTGCATTTTTCAGAAACAGTTGCCTGTAGTAAACTACTTTCCAAGTGGAGGGGAGTAACATAGGCAGCTTGTGATATGGAGCGGGAGGTTTACAGAGAGGCCCAAATTTCACCAAGTGCACTTAAGATTAACCTGGTGGACTAGCAGAAGCCACGGCAAGGACTCGTAATAGTGCAAGGGGGCTTCCCCTCATCTTTTGCCCCTGTGCCTCCCCCAAATCCACTCTGGAGTATTTGCAGGGGAGGGAACAAAATGGGGGAGGGAAAGGGGAAATTGTTCACTTTAGCAAGTAGTAACACTTGCTGACAGAATGGTCAGAATCGTATGACATTGAATTCCACCCTATATATCCCTAATGCAGCTATTAGGTCCGTCCGATTTATCTGATTGACAACATTTTAAAAAACAATCTTGTTACTCTCCTCAACAATTCTGTGACGTAGTCAACTGTCATTTCCCATGTAGTTATGGAACTAATAGGTCAAACTCTGTTTGTCCCAGGACAGACATCATCATCATCATCAACATCATCAGAATTTATATACCATCCTATACTCGGCGGTCTCACAGGGTGGTTCACAGAATAAAATCAAGATAGGTAAAGCTAAAGGGGAACCCTGACCATTAGGTCCAGTTGTGGATGACTCTGGAGTTGCAGCGCTCATCTCGCTTTATTGGCCGAGGCAGCCGGCGTACAGCTTCCGGGTCATGTGGCCAGCATGACTAAGCCACTTCTGGCGAACCAGAGCAGCGCACAGAAATGCCGTTTACCTTCCCGCCAGAGCGGTACCTATTTATCTACTTGCACTTTGACGTGCTTTCAAACTGCTAGGTTGGCAGGAGCAGGGACCGAGCAACGGGAGCTCACCCCGTTGCGGGGATTCGAACTGCCGACCTTCTGATTGGCAAGCCCTAGGCTCTGTGGTTTAACCCACAGCGCCACCCGTGTCCCTAAAATCAAGATATAAAACCACAAAATAAATAATAATAAAAATAAAAACAGCAATGCAATAGGTTCCCGCCCCCCAAAGGAACCAGCATGCTACCCAGTCAACAACATGAATCATGTAATGTATGCTACATCCATAAAATTATGATGGCTGAAGTTTTCTGGTATGAGCTCTTAGCCGTTTATGAGCAATGGAACTGCGAAACTTGTGAGGGAACACCGTGTTCCAGCTGATACATTCATTCTGCTGTGGTGGTTGTGCAAGAGTCTCAAAGGAAGAATAGTGCACGCCCCTTTTCTGCACCATGATAGACTGCAACGTGAACTGGGGTTTCTGCATGAACAGCTGGTGGTGCACAGGCCTAGTTTGGACAATTCCACATCCTTTTTAAAACATCATGCGCAGGCCTTGTTCATCCTATAGGCTCTTTTTATGGGGGAAGGGAAGAGGTACGTGTGGCTCGTTCACTGCGCTGCTAACAGCACTGTCCTGGTTCAGTGTGAGAACCGGGGCTCTGTCTTTTTATGTTTTCTGACTAAAACCTCTATATTGCCATATGGATTCCACAAAGTCGCCCTCAGAGAGCTGTGTTGGAATCTGGAACAGAGAGATAGTGTATGTTTTGATGGTTTTACAGATCTTTTCCCAAAACTAACATAGTTCAAATCATCACCAATATCTGTGCAGCCAGACTAAGGGAGGGATCAATCTCTTTGTGGGAGGATGCCGTGTTCCTGAAAATGCATCCTGAGAGGAAGGAGAATGAAACAAAGACTTCAAAAATGCTTTGATTTTACACCCTGATACAATCGTCGCTTGAGAAATATTAGTCAAACTACGTTCCCACTGCAAAATCTTGACAGGTTATAGCAGTTCTTGAACAAATGTGTTTAGTACTGGATTTTGCAAATGGAGTGGCCAGATTGAATGCAGTAATTTTAAAATCTGGTGCTTTAAATATGCCTGTTTGACTCAGTTTCTTTTGCAAGTGTTTCAGTTCCAGGAAGAAAAAAAATGGTGTCCCTTTTAAAGTTATATCCAGTACAGCTCAGGATCTATAAAGAAGGCTTTTATTTTACAAAATGCTTGATAATTATTAGGTTGTTCATTCTCTCACCTAACCTATGAGATAGTTCACTACACTCCTTTCTAGGTGAGGAACAGAAAATTAAGAGTTTCAGCAATATCACAAAGTGCATGATGCTACAGTGAACCATTTTCAGCAATATCACAGAGTGCATGATCCTAGGGTGAACTATTTCAGATTTGAATGTGCTTCTGTGTAACCCAGCCTCCAGGTGGCCCCCAGAGCTTCAATTCTAGTTGTGGATATTTTTGGATACAGTATTTTTGGTCTGGATTGGAGAGACAGCAGCAGAGGCGGGGGTTTAAGGGTGTGTTTAGAAGGTGCTCCTCACTTACACAATTTTTGCTTATGCACATGGGGCCCCAGAATGTAACCCCTGCATAAGTGGTGGAACATCTGTACATCATGGAGCAAGGTAGGCCTATAGCACTTCTGGACACATGCCATTTCTTTGTTATGCTCTTTAGTTTCAGTACGTTTCCAAGCACAATTCAAAGTGTTGGTGCTGACCTTTAAAGCCCTAAACGGCCTCAGTCCAGTATACCTGAAGGAGCATCTCCACCCCCATCATTCTGCCCGGACACTGAGGTCCAGCACCGAGCGCCTTCTGGCAGTTCCCTCACTGCGAGAAGCCAAGTTGCAGAGGGCCTTCTTGGTAGTGGCACCCGCCCTGTGGAATGCCCTCCCACCAGACGTCAAAGAGAAAAACAACTACCAGACTTTTAGAAGACATCTGAAGGCAGCCCTGTTTAGGGAAGCTTTTAATGCTTAATAGACTATTGTATTTTAATTTTCTGTTGGAAGCCACCCAGAGTGGCTGGGGAAACCCAGCCAGATGGGCGGGGTATAAATAATAAATTGTTGTTGTTGTTAGTTATTACGTTTTCATCCCAAAGGAGCCCGTGATATGGGAAGCATTCAAAACATGGAATCCCTACCTGCAGGGTGAAGGTTACAGGCTTGAAATATTTCTACACATACAGGTGTCTCTTGGAGATAATGAAATGCCTAAGGCCATGCACCCATGGTTATTGTTTCAAGGCCAATGTCAGGGATGGGCACCTGCTGAGACCCACACTTCAGTGGGGTGGAGGGGCACATTTTCCTGGCTCAGTTCCTCTTCTTCCTGAGGAGTTGGAACAGCAACCTCTGCTTCCTTAGTGCGCTCTCTCTCTCTCTCTCTCTGGGCATTTGTGCAGACTGAGCACAAAGGAAAAGGAAGAATGAGTGGGCAGTGAGCCCTTGGAGAGGAGGAGAACTCGATCGGAACACCTTGTCCATGTTCCCACCCACCCCGGGAAAAGCCTGGAGCCAGCCCTGCATTCTTTGAGTATTTCTTCAAAATGATTTTGCTATTTATGAAAAGGGCTATTGGGATGGTGGTGATGGGGAGGCCCTCCTTCTGTCAATCCCTCATTCAGTACAACTTTATTTTCAAATTGTTGCTCCATTTGCCCTCCGCTCTAGTCTGCTTAAGGCTGGGGAAACAATTGTAGCACTCAGCAGATCGGAACAAACAACATACTTAACGTCCACCCGTGGGATGATCTTCAAAATTAATCAGCACATGATCTAACGCTAAGTCTTTTGACAATGTGGCTTTTTATTTTAGGAAATAACAAGAAGTTTCAAGATCCACTTGCAAAGACACGACTAGAAATTGCTGGGTGGTTGTTTTAACAAGCTCCATGGCAAATCAGCCTCGGAAACTGATCTCATTGCCCATATGAGAGAAAGCAGAGGGGCTGTATTCTTTGCGACCTTCACAAGCACAGCATCCCTGATCAGAATCAGCTGAGGACTTCAAAGAGAAAACAAGAGTGCAGCAGCAGAACGTTTTGAGGATTAAATACTGTGTGCTGGCAATTCCGGTGCTAATACAGTGGTACCTCGGGTTACATACACTTCAGGTTACAGACTCTGCTAACCCAGAAATATTACCTCAGGTTAAGAACCTTGCTTCAGGATGAGAACAGAAATCATGCTCTGGCGGTGCGGCGGCAGCAGGAGGCCCCATTAGCTAAAGTGGTGCTTCAAGTTAAGAACAGTTTCAGGTTAAGAACGGACTTCTGGAACGAATTAAGTACTTAACCCAAGGTACCACTGTATAATAAAAGCTATGAAGAAGACTGAAACGTGGGTCTTTATTGCAAGATAGATATATTTTTGATGACCGCTACCATTGCAGCTAGCAATACCCTTCCAAAGTTCTGGGGCAGTATGCAAGTGATACTGCGAATGAGTCTATTTATGGAGGAAGAGTAGTAGACTTTTGACCTTATTCTATTAATATCAATAAATTCTCTTTTAAAAAAACCCACGTGCTAGAAAGCAGCAATGTGTTCACAGACACGATGACAGCATTACAAAA